CACCATGCCCTAAACCCCATTCTAGACTTGGTTTTGGTGTTATAAGCATGTAGGACCTTGCATGCACATAAAGTTTGCAACTTTACGTGGAATCTGTGCCTTAGGAAGCTAGATCTATAAGTTAGAGTTGTGGAGTAGCTTAAAAACATCTGGATAAGAATTGGACTGCATGAACTCGACGGCGAGTCGGATGGAGGTTGCCCGCATTTGATTCTCCATGAACTCGACAAGTCAGTAAGAGGACTCGACGAGTCAGTTAGGGTTTTTCCCGACATCTGGATACGCATGGACTCGACGAGTTGGTTGGAAACTCGGCGAGTCAGTTAGGGTTTTATGACTTTCTGAGTTCTTATGGAAACTCGACGAGTTGCTAGTTACACTCGACGAGTTGGGTCAACATGGACTGTTGAATTTGACCGTTGACTTTGACTTTGACCAGGGGTTGACCAGTTTGACTTCTGGGGGTATTTTGGTAATTTGGGAATTTATAGAAGTGGATCACTGGTGGATGTAGGTGTTGGACTTGGAGCAGCATTTGGTGAAGTTTGATCTTATCACTTCGAGCTACTTGTGAGGTGAGTTCACCTCACTATATCAACAGGGTCTAAGGCACCAATGTTGGCCCTAATCGGATTTGTATTCGGGTTTATTGCATGATATGCTTATTGATTTATATCATGGTAGTTAGGATGGTTGCTATGTTAGTGATCTGTTAGATCGGTATCCTGGTTATAGGATGGTTGCTATGTTAGTGATCTGTTAGATCGGTATCCTGGTTATAGGATGGTTGCTATGTTAGTGATCGATTAGATCTGTATCGTGGTTATAGGATGGTTGCCATGTTAGTGATTTGTTAGATCAATATGATTATTTGTACATGCTATCTAGCGTATGATATTTATGTGCACATGTTTGTTGGTTTGGGGTATTGGGTTGAGGCAAGTCCTGCTTTGTGCTGTAGGCCAAGATACCCAGGGCGGACCGGATAGACTGCAGACCCGGGAGGGCATATAGTCAGGTAGAAGGCCCAACGAGCGGTCCGGACAGGATGAAGGCCCTGAGAGGCGGTCCAGACGTACCGAAGGCTCGGAGAGCGGTCCAGATAGACTGGTGGCCTGTGAGGCGGTCCAGTCAGACTGATGGCTCATTATGCATGTTGTTTGCTTATATGATATGGTTATATCTGTATGGTGTTGGTATTTTCGGGGAACTCACTAAGCTTCGGGCTTATAGTTGTTGATTTTGTTTCAGGTACTTCTGACGATCACGGGAAGGCGAATGCGTGATCGTACACCTCCTATGGTTTTTATGATTTGATTCTGGGATACGCTGACACTGAACTATTTTGAAAACAAGTTTTGTAATAATCGATTGATTTCGAAATGTTTTAAAAAGTTTAAATTTGGCATGATTTTTATGAGTGTTAAAGATGCATTTTGATACCGATGAAAAAACTAACATGTTGTATTTGATGTTCTAGTTTTTTTTTTACTATTATTACCGAATATTAATAAAAAAAATTGTTAGGGTGAGATATTGTTGTATTTTTTTGTATTTTATGAAGTTCAAAGAGTAAATTACACGAGTGGTCCCTATGGTTTGGAGTAATTTGCGTGTTTGGTCCCTAATTTATTTTTTTTAACTCGGAAGGTCCCTACTATTTGTTTTTGTTACACACTTGGTCTCTACTGTTTGTTTTTGTTACACACTTGGTCTCTGTTTTACCTAAAAAGACTATTATTTAAATAGGAAAAATGATGAGATAGGTAACGTAAGGTGAGGGGGTGGGGTTGGGGTGTGTTTATTTAAATAAATTAAAAAATCAAGGGAAAACTAGTCTTTTTAGGTAAGATAGGGACCAAGCGCATAACAAAAACAAACAATAAGGACCTTCCGAATTAAAAAAAATAAGTTAGGGACCAAACGCGCAAATTATCCTAAACCATAGGGATTATTCGTGTAATTTACTCAAGTTAAAACTTCAAAAGTTCCGTTTTCTAATTTCTAAACATCTTTATTAATAGACATTATCATAAACAGTGACCAAAGAAAGTTAAAAGTGGCACGGAATATTTTCACCTTTGTGCCATTTTTCTTGTTCATCATCTAAAAAAGTAAAAGAATATTGAATATTTTCGACAACTACCTCCTACCTTCCCCTAAGATGTTCTTTCTTGAGAAATCGATTAAAGAAATGTAACATAATTAATCAACGAATGTTATAACCTTTTTTTCTTTTTTATGAACAAGTGAAATCAAATCATGATTTTAATTTACCTCTCATTTTAGTTCAAGGCACACTACATCAATTTTTAAGTTCATTCGTTTTAGTTTAAATATGTCTAAGAAAAAACCAGAATATTAAAATATATATTATTGGTTAAATTGTTTTTCATAATTGTTGATTGAGTGAACTATGATTGATTGAGTTAATGTCTAACTCACCAGACCCAACTTTAAATCTGATATATTAAAAACATATATTAGACCTACTAGGTATTAAAAAAAAAAAAAGAGGGCGTCAATAAAAAAAAATGTTGATTAATCAAAGGTCCAGTTGATCGAAAAGTTAGGACCGAATCAGAGACTTCAAAGTGATATATCAAATAGTTTAAGCCTAACCAAATCAGTCTCTACGAATACCAGATATAGTAAAATACATATCAAACAACCTCTAAAAGTGTTATAACAATTTTTTTAGCTTACTTAAAAACATCAAAAAGTAAATAAAAAGATGACATGCATACTTGGCAACAATCAACATAATATATGCATATTTGAATATTTTTAATTGTAACGTATAAGTAAATCTAAATGGAAAAGTTGAATAACCACTTTATTTGTTATGGTATGTTAAAAAAAACTTGCTTCCAAATACACACGCTTTCTTTTAATGAATTGATTATGAATTAAAAATGTTGGAATATCTTGTTCATGCCAAATAAATTAATTTGTTGCGTAATAATTAAAGGTGTTTAATTTAGATATGGAAAAAGAAACATTGTAGTTTACAAACTTAGTAGGTAACGTTCCAACTGATTGTGATCTCTATGTACCATCTTTGCCACCACCCACTTCTACATTTACCAACCAAACCTACCACATACTTGTCTCTCTTTCTCCCATTTTTGTTTCAATCTTTGAAGCCTTTTCAGGTTTTTTTTATTGTTCATCACAAAATTAACAGGATCAAGGATGGTGGAGGAAAACCAAGAACCCATGAAAGATGTTGCTTCAGAAACTGAATCAAAATGGACATCACCACCGGAACCCAAATCAAGTTCGGTTGCAACACCACCACCCAAGAAAACAAAGCCGCCTCATGGTGGTGACAAGAGTAAGCTTCTTGACACTCTCTTGTACAATTTTAACTGCTAGACAGAATTTGCGCTAACAGCACGGGAATCCTGTCTAACATGTATAGGTTATGTATGACAAACAAGTTTTTGTAATCGGATAATTTATGAAAAAAATATGGGTTTTGCGCAACTTTGAACCCGTTTCATTTAGGCTATGTTTCTTGAATTTTGTTTTTTTTTTTAAATAAAAGGTAAATCGCATCATGTAAAACGGCTCATGTTAGCCCCCTGGAGGTTAATTACGGAACAATAGCAATGTTTTGGGTGCGTTAGGATTTGGTTTGAACCCTAGACAAGAATGAAATTTCACATCTCAACCGGTATGTATTGTTTCTCCATTCGTAGATGAAGGTATTAATTTATATATGTTTTCAGATGTTGGACTTGAAGTAGTTGTTGCAGAGAAGAGAATGGCACTCATTAAAGCATGGGAAGAGAACGAAAAGACAAAGGCTGACAACAGGTACTTGTTGTCTATATATATTTATATACTACAAGAACATATGTGATAACATGTGTATGTACAGGGCGTACACAAAAAAGTCAGCAATCGGAGCATGGGAAAATACTAAAAAAGCAATGATAGAAGCTAATCTTAAACAGATTGAGGTACATGTTTCGTATTGATCACTTGTAAAAGTATGGAAGAAAAAAAAAATATAAAAAACACAAGGCATGCATATGTATATGTATGATGTGTATGTAAATGGAGCAGGAAAACATAGAAATTGAGAAGGCAAAAAAGAGGGAGGAGATGAAGAATAGGATGGCTGGAATACATAAAGAAGCAGAAGAAAAACGGGCAATGGTGGAAGCCAAAAGGGGGCAACACATAATCAAGGCAGAGGAAGCTGCTGCAAAGTTTCGTGCTACAGGCACTCTTCCTACCAAGTTGTTTAAATGCTTTGGCTACTAATTTTTTTCCCCAAAAACGAATATACTTATACATGCATCAACTATCATTATCAACAACAAATTTTACATCTTGTATGGTTTGTTTTATATATGGTTTTTTGTTCATTAAACTTAAACCTATATATGGTTTATATCATACATATATTTGAGCTGGGTATTATTTGTTGACTGGTTGTATAATAGAAGCTCTGGGGTTCAACAGAATGCAGTTACTTGATCACACATAATACATATTACAGTGCAAATATTGAAGGAATCAAAAGGATGATAGCTTCATTGTTGAAACTTAAAATTCAAGAATAAGCTTTAATCTCACCAAAATTTGATCAGTTGATGTGGTTCTAACATCTTATTAACTTCAGTTTAACTATTTAAAAGCGTTCATGGAGATTTCATCATTTTTAAACTTTACAACTCAAATCAAGTATTAACAGAGGGGATTATTTTACCTTAGATAGTTGGTTATGATTACATCATATGTTTTTAAATCAAAAAAAAAAAAATATGTAGAAAAACCATTCAAGAATGCAGTTGAATTGATAACCCAAACACATAGGGAAAAAGTAAGCTTTGAATTGATAACCCAACACAAATCTAAATATTGTTCATGCATGATTTTTTTTTTTTTCGGTTTTTCGTTTTTGCTCTACTTTTTATCTGTTTTTTTTTTTTTTTTTTCCTTTTTTTTTTCTTTTCAAGATATGGAGTACAAACTACAAGCTATCCTCCAGAATCAGGTAAATACAGATCTAGCATATGATATAACAAGCCTAAACTAAAAACAGAAACAGAAACAAGAAAATGTCTCCTACTTGTATTTCATTTTCTCAATCACAGACAGTAAATGGCTTGATCAATTTGGGGAGGAATTTGTTTTATTTCAGTTCCAAGTTCCTGTTCAATCCTATACCTGTATCACAACCACACACATCATTAGCATTTAAGTATTTAACATTTATCATTTATCATTTTTAAATTATGAAAGAAAATACATACAAGTTAAACCGGTCTTCATAAGTTATCAAATTCACAGCCAACCCCAGATGTCCAAACCTTCCCGAACGTCCCACCTACAAATAAACAATAAAATATATATATAACAATTTTTCATTTTCAAATAAAAAAACTTTTATTTTTAGTTTACCCTGTGCAAATACGTCTCCGCGTTCCTTGGAAAGTCAAAATTGATGACAACATTCACGGCTTGAATATCTATACCCCTTGTAAACAAATCTGATAACACAAATCCAAATTCAAGATTACGGTTTGTTAGGGTACATAATATTTTTTATAATTTGAGTTTTTTTTTTTTAATTATAAAATAATAAAATATATATACCAGTACAAACAAGATTTCTGCATGCACCATTTCGGAAATCATGGAAGACACGATTACGATGATCTTGCAACATTTTAGCATGAATATAAAAGCAAGAATATCCAAGCTCTGTTATCTTCTTTGCTAACAGCTCTACTCGGTTTACGGAGTTGCAGAATATGATAGATTGGTTGATTTGTAACTGTAATAACAATCAATTCAATTCAATTCAATTCATAATCAATCTTCAAAGTAAGGGCTTTTTAGTAAATGTGAGCATACCTTTGAGAAAAGAGTGTTGAGGCAGTGAACCTTTTTGTCTTTCTTCCACAAAAGCATAATACTGTGTGATACCTTTAAGGGTAAGTTCGTCCATTAAATTAACAACATAAGGATTTTTCAGGTATCTGTCTCTGAAATCTTTTACAGTAACAGGAAATGTAGCTGAAAACATCAAAATCTGTCTGTTTTCTGGAAGGAAACTGATCAGATGCTCTACAGAAGGTTGAAACTCAGGGGACAACAGCTTATCAGCCTGTCAAAACACATTATCATTATTTATAATTTTATTAAATAATTTATAAAAAACTAAAAAAATATATATATACCTCATCTAATACCAGCATTGCACAGTCATTGAGAATACAGACACCCTTTTTGGTTAGATCAAGAATTCTTCCAGGAGTTCCAACTAACAAATGAACAGGTTGATATAATCGCATGATGTCATCTTTTAGACTTGTTCCTCCAGTTGTCACCATTACTTGAATCTGTAAATGTTTTCCAAGCTCCTTGCAGACTTGTGATGTTTGAAGAGCCAGTTCTCTTGTGGGGACAAGTATGATAACTGTATATTTCATATTTGTTATTAAATCCATAACTTATTTATAGGATTTGAAAGTAAACATGTTGTTGAATTAGTAAAATAAAACCTTGGATGACATTGTTGTCTGTATCGATCTTTTCAAGAGCAGGAATACAAAAAGCAGCTGTTTTTCCAGTTCCATTTTTGGCTCTAGCAAGAATATCACTACCAGTTAAAGCAATAGGAATGCTTTCTTCTTGTATAGGAGAAGGCCTTTCAAAACCCTTCTCATAGATTCCCATAAGTAGTTCTCTTTTTAGAAAGTAGTCCTCAAATTCGTTTCCTTTTGTAGCTGTTACATCCTGTAAAGATTACAAACTGTAAGAAAAGTGGCATAATACTTGATATCCTACTTCAAAGATAAAAGGACATCAAAATAGGATAAGGAAATGTATTAATAAAAGGTAATGAACGAAGTTGCTTATAAGATTTATTATTATTGTTAAATAGCAAATTGCATAATGTTAACTGTTGTGTGCATACCTCAGTCTTGAAACGGCTATCTGCTGCAGGTATGTTTAACTGTGCTTTCCAATCTTGAGAGCTAAACCCACAAAATGGATAAACAAATAAGTTCACAGCATGTTTACATATAATTTATCAGTTAGATATCATTCAAATAGATCATACATGTATACACATAAAGTAATCATCTCCAAGAAAACCAATAACCATACATAGAACTGTAGAAGAGTCTATATTCCATAAAACCAACCTGCTATCAATTCCTAACACCACCGAATTAGATCAACACAGAGACCTTACATTATCATTTTGATCCCATAACTACTACATTATATCCCATAACATCAAGTATAGAGATATAAGTATGCATTTCCAAGATAAGAACCGTAACCATCTTGCAATTTTACGGGAATTGCAGTTTCAAGAATGTACGTCAAGTATTATTTGTAAAAGAATCAAGCAACTAAAGGTTCGAGGAAACGGTTATAGATGTGGAATTTGAATTTTGACCTTGAATCAACGCTGCCTTCTGACTGTACGGTTTTCTCGACTTCATAGTTATTGTTATTGGCAGTAGAAGAAGCAGGGACATTAGGGTTCGTTCTTAGCCATTGTTGCTTCTGATTGTAGTGTTGTTGTGTGGACTGCTCTCTCTGAGGGTACTGTGACTGATGCTGCTGTTGTTGAATTTGATCATGGCTTCGAGGTTGATGGTAATAATTAGGGTTTGTTTGAAAATTACCACCTCCGCCTCCACCTCCACCACCGCCATACCATCCTCCGCCGCCGCCGCGGCCATTTCCGATACCGGGAGGGTACCGGCGGTTGTAACTGTTGTTACCGGTGCTATCGTTCATCGGGAGATGATCGTTGATTACAAAGCTTGTTGTGTAGGGAGTAGTGAGTAGAGAGGGTTTGATGCGTTTGATCGTGTGTGCGAAAGTGTGTGTTCAGATCGAGGTGTGGGTGTACACGCGACAGGAGTTGTGAAAGGTTTTATTTTCTTGTTTGATTTAACAATTTTAAATGCCCTAATCAGTAATTATCTTCTTTCAACCAAATATTCAATAATTCTAATTCAATTCGACATGACCATCAGGCATAAAGTAATTTTTGAGTGTTTAAGGTCCCACATGTTCAGGATTTTTTTTATGACTATTCCTATTGGCGGTCTTGGCCGGCATATATCATCAGGGGAATATCGTGTCATCCTCAAGTATCGGCTTATGATCCCTTTATTTCCGGCTGACGAGACTTGTCCTGTTTGTCGCAAGGCATGTTTGGACTCCTTCGGGGAGCATGCAGTTCATTGTAAAGAGCTCCCGGGTTTCAAGTACCGACACGATCTGGTTAGGGATGTTTTTTTCGACATATTTAGGCGCGTTGGGATTTCTGCCAAGAAAGAGACACCTGTGAACTTTCTGACTAACCCATTTGAAGGAATATCAACACTTAGACCAACTGATGTTTTAGTATTTGGATGGGCTAAAGGAAAGCATGCATGCGTGGATCTAATAGGGGTTTCCCCTCTTGTGGGCTTAGGGAGGGCAGTTTTCACTGTGGGGCAAGCTGCTTTAAAAGATACATCAAGCAAAGTGGCAAAATGAGAAAGCGTGCATGGAAAATCAACACACGTTTATACCCTTTGCATTTGATACTTTTGGTTTTCTTGCGTCAGAAGCTGTGGAGCTACTCAATAGAGTCCAACGGGTCATGCATAGTAATGTTATGACTCCAAGATCTATAGATGTTGTTTTTATAAGAATTAGGGACCGTTTGATAGTTGTTGACTGAGAAAGTGCTGAGCGGGAAAGATCTGTCTAAGTAATAAATTCTGACTGAGTAAGAAATCATGATGTTTGATTGTACATCTAACTGAATGTGATGACTGATGCAAAATGACCATTTTACCCTTGTACTCTTTATAATAATAATAATAATAATAATAATAATAATAATAATAATAACTAGAAAGCTTCCCCCGCGTTGCGGGGGTCGGGTGTTGTTTTTTTATGAAATTAAAGTACATTGTCTGTATTAATGGATACAGTAAAGTACATTGGCATTCTATGTGATTTGCCCAATTATGATTTTCACAATTAAGTTTTAATGCAAACTTACGACATCGAATCATGTCACCCAGAAAGATGAGACAGGATGACGGTGAAGTTTACAGATAATAACATAACATAGTATGGTTTGGAAGTGCAAATCGTAATCTATACTACTGTACTTACAAATTTTCCTTTTAAGACTACTATTTTAAAAAGAAATCTAATAAATGCAACGTTTTAAAGATTTAACAAATGAAAGTACAATTCTATTTATTAAAATGAAACCTAAATTTTATAGCTAATAATGCACTTTGTCATCCTCCATCAAGAAGTTTGGATCTCATTTGATGGTGATACTCTAATAACTCACCGATCTCTGCAAAATAATAACAAATCAACTTCTAACTGTTATTGTTCCTAAGGGAACATAGGTTTAATCTATTATATTAATATAAATTATTGTATACTTTCATATATTCCTTTATATAGCATCCAACTTTCATTTTCTCTGACAATGTACTTCCAACCTTTTTTTATCAAAACATTATTGTAAAATAAAAAATGCTAACCGATCTTTTCATTCCATTTTAACATGTGAAATCATAGAAGGTCGAAAATATAATTTTTTAAAAAGATAGTTACCTCAAGGCATTTATATGTTTTTGAACTACATCCATTTGTTCAGCATCATAGTCAGTCCATTTGTTAATCGTTTCAACTAAAAGAACCCCAGCTCCAATATCTATAACTATTAGGATTAGCATTAAAAGGTATAAGAAACAAATAGATACTTCATAAAATGTCTGTAGAAATAGAGCTAACCTTGAAAGCAAAATACAAAGTTTATGAGAACACCCTTTTAATCTCCAGTAGAAATGACCATTAGTGCCCCTGATTAGAGCATCGGGTGTCTCTTAATGTAACATAAAAATATGAAGTTAAATGCAATTATCAGAAAATGTTACTTTAATTTAATATTATAAAATTCAAGGAAATAAATAAAAGATTTAAATAGCCAAATAGCCTTACCTGTAACTAACCCATCCTTTCACTCCAACAAAAAAGAAGTCAACTAACTCAGGCTGAAAGTCAGGTTTCTAAATCTGCTCAAAATTAAATAACAGAATTAACATAAATATATATAAAAAAGAAATATATGAACAGTTTACAAATTTAATCTATTGGTAGTAGAGACAATAACCTGTGCTGTAAAAAGTTATAAACGTCCTGATATCTGCAGTAGTGATTGAATAACCTCCCCTTTTGACTTTGTAAGCTGCAAAGGATTAAAAAATGTTTGAATAAAGACTCCATGAAAATGCTATATTAATTGCATCATTTGTTAAAACGTATTTTAAAATATTATTATAGCTTGTGATGTTGTGATGTGGGGTCTTGACATTTGATATAGTCATTGTTTTTAAAATAGCTGCTATCATCTATTATCAACAATTTGTTCAGAATAGAATTATATAAAAAACAGGCTAAGCAAAAAAAAAAAAAAAAAATAGAAACATGTTTCTGTGGATTTGGATGTAAAAACATGTTCGATTGCAGAAAACCAACTTCGTTTTCTTTTTCCATTTCAGTAAATTAAGAAGTAATTAAGTAAAGTAACAAAAATCAAAGTCCAAAGTCCAAACACAAAAGAAAGTGTATGGATATGCACGCTAGGGATGAGATTTAGAACCGGAAAACCGGACCGGAACCGGAATCGGACCGGAACGGAACCGTTAGAACCAGAATATGTAAAACCGGTCCGGGTCCCGGGTTTAAAGAATGGCTCTATCCGGGTTCCGGGTAATCCGGGTTTCGGGTCCTTCGGGTCCGGGTAAACCGGGTTTAAGAACCGGAACCGTGTTAGGAACCGGAACCGGTTTAGGGGCCGGAACCGGTTTCTATGAAAATTTTAAAACATGCATATCTCATTCGTTTGAAGTCAGATTGACATGAGGTTTTTTCCATAGTATAGTTTATAATTTTAACATGATTTTAGACTATAATTTTGTCATTTTTGGGTTTATATTCATTGACTTATAGTCTCTCAAAGTCGGGATATCAAAGCTGGAAATTTTATATTTTTCAGCTTTTTTTTGTATTCTGTGATAGTTTTAAAACATGCATATCTCATTTGTTTAAAGACGGATTGACATGAGGTTTTTTCCATAGTATAGTTTATAGTTTGTACATTATTTTAGACTATAATTTTGTCATTTTTGGGTTTATATTCATTGACTTATAGTCTCTCAAAGTCGGGATATCAAAGCTAGAAATTTTATGTTTTTCAGCTTTTTTTATATTATGTGATAGTTTTAAACCATGCATATCTCATTCGTTTGAAGTCGGATTGGCATGAGTTTTTTTCCATAGTGTAGTTTATAGTTTGTACATGATTTTAGACTATAATTTTGTTATTTTTGGGTGTTTATTCATTGACTTATAGTCTCTCAAAGTCGGGATATCAAAGCTGAAAATTTTATGTTTTTCAGCTTTCTTTGTATTTTGTGATAGATTTAAAACATGCATATCTAATTCGTTTGAAGTCGGAATAGCATGCGGTTTTTTCCAAAGTGTAGTATAGAGTTTGTACATGATTTTAGACTATAATTTTGTCATTTTTGGTTTCATATTCATTGATTTATAGTCTCCCGAAGTTGGGATAACAAAGCTGCGAATTTTTTTTTTCTTAACTTTATTTTTGTATTTTGTGAAATTTTAAAACATGCATTCGACCCACTTTACCCGGTTCCCCGGGTTTTTCGGTTTTAGACCCACTTTACCCGGTTCCATTCGACCCACTTTGATATTTCCGGGTTTTCCGGTTCTAGACCCACTTTACCCGGTACCTTACCCGGAACCGAACCGGAACCGGTTCCTATATACCGGTCCGGTTTCCGGTCCTAAAAAATCTCGTTAACCGGTTCCCGGGTTTTCCGGGTCCGGGTCTACCGGTCCGGGTTTGGACCCACTCTTATCCCTAATGCACGCCATACCTTGAAGGAAGTATTGGTTGAGTCAAACTGTCAAACCATTATTAGATTGTATGTTGGATGTATTATGTAGCGGTATAAGCATCCAAAAATACAAAAAGAAAAAACCTCGTTCTCCAAAAATATAACATAAGTAAAAACATTATAGTCACAGAAGTCATATTGTTATATACTATATAGCAGAAACAGAGGTTAGGTACATATAAACTTTGATAAGCTACCAAGTTAAACTCATCAAATCATGATGAAATTGCTATAAATACTCTTAGCAGTTAGCATAAACCGTATTTGACGGAATTTTGCTCCTCAAAATAAATCAAAGAGATTAAATGTGATCACCTATTTTTAAAATTAAAAAACCCTAATATCAAAGAAGATAAAGATGAAGATGAAAATGTAAAATGACAAAGTACTTCACCTTAATGTGTCACATGTTTCTGATGCTTGTTTCTCGTCTGCTACTTCCACCTGATAGATATAATTCTACCAAAAGTCTAATATCAAAAAACCATCAAACCAAATGTTAAATTCCATTAAAATTTGACTTGGAAGCTACACGAAAATCTAGCAACATGTTCCATATGAGGCAAGGGAAAAAAGGTAATTCACGGAACCATAGAGAAAAGTGATGTATCCTTACAATGGAAATGGGGATGATCTATCTTCATCATCTTTCACAGCATAGAAATCATATATGTACTCATCCTTGGATGCTGTTTAATTATCATTGATATCAATAAGACAAAATTATTAACAAAAAAAAAGAAAAAGAAAATTGAGTTGTATAATGATCAATATAAAAGCAAAAACAAAAGGTAGGACCTTTTTTATCATTTAATGGTCGATTTCATATGCAATATCTTCTGTTGCACTTGGAATGAACTTCCGTAGTAGGTGAAAGAAAGTGGGCAATATCCTTTCATCCTCCTCAACTTTGCATTATGATGTTAGTTATAC